AAAGAAAGAGAGGGCAAAAAATCTCCTAGTGGTTCGGGTTCCAATGCTCCCATGCAAAACTGATTCTATGCACTTAAGACTCGTGGTGAATAAGAGGATTCTCTCGATGTGATTACCAGTATGTTGAAAATCTTCAAACTTGATGTTTATGCTTTACCTGATCCTGGTGCTACATTGTCTTTATTGACGCCATCTGTGGCTATGAGGTTTGATGTTCTTCCAGATGTGTTGTTAGATCCTTTTTATGTCTCTACTCATGTTGGTGATTCTGTTATGGCTAAGAGGGTCTATAGAAAGTGTCCCGTTTCCTTGTCCCATAGAGTTACTCTTGTTGATTTGGTAGAGATTGATGTGCTAGATTTTGATGTTATCCTTTGTATGAATTGGCTACATTCTTGTTATGCTTCTATTGATTGTAGAACCCTAGTAGTCAAGTTTCAGTTCCCGAATTTGCTTGTCCTAGAGTGGAAAGGGGGAAGTTTTATGCCTAAAGGTCCGTTTGTCTCTTGTCTTAATTCTAGAAAGAAGATTGCCAAGGTTTACATATACCATCTAGTTAGGGTGATGGATGTGGATTCCGAAACTCCTACTCTTGAGTTAGTCCCTATTTTTAATGAGTTTCCAGAAGTGTTCCCAGACGATCTACCTGGTATTCCTCCCGAAAGGGAAATAGACTTTGGTATTGACCTTCTCCCAGATACGCAACCTATCTCTATTCCTCCTTATCGAATGGCTTTGGTAGAACTAACAGAGTTGAAAGAACAACTGAAAGACTTGTTGGATAAGGGTTTCATCCAACCGAGTATCTCTCCATGGGTGCTCCTATCTTGTTTGTTAGAAAGAAGGATTGTTCTCTCCGTATGTGTATAGACTATCGACAGTTGAATAAGGTTACCATTAAGAATAAGTATCCTTTCCCAAGGATAGATGACTTGTTTTACCAACTTCAAAGGGCGAGTTACTTTTCCAAGATTGACCTTCGATCGAGTTACAACCAATTTAGGGTGAAGGAAAATGATATTCCGAAAATGGTTTCTAGAACCCGATATAGTCATTATTAGTTTTTGGTAATATTTTTTGGTTTGACCAATGATCCAGTCACTTTTATGGATTTGATGAATAAGGTATTTAGACAATATCTTGACATGTTCGTGATTGTGCTCATTGATGATATTTTGATTTATTCTAGAAGTGAAGATGATCACATAAATCATTTGAGTATTGTGTTGTGAATTCTCAAGGACCAACAACTCTTTGCAAAGTTTTTCAAATGTGAGTTTTGGCTACGTGGCTTTTCTTGGTCATATTGTTTCAAGTAAGGGTATTAAGGTAGATCCTAAGAAGACGGACGCGGTCCAGAGTTGGACTAGACCTCTATCCCCTTCGGATATTAGAAGTTTCTTGGGTTTAGCTGGTTACTACATAAGGTTTGTTGAGGGGTTTTCTTCGATTGCCAATCCATTGACAACATTGACTTAAAAGAAGGCTAAGTTCATATGGTCCAAATCATGTGGGAAGAGCACTACATTAAAAATGACTATTAGAGGCAATTAATTAGCAATTGCCGCTAAATATGTATTTTTAGCGGCAATTAGCACTCTTTGTATATGTCTCTAAGGGCTTTAGCGACATTGGATCTAGTGGCACTTAACTAATGCCGGTAAAGACTTTAGCACTCTTTATTATTGTGTCTATTTATTTCTGCTAAAAGTTGTTTTTGTTATAGTGGAGCTTTTAAGAATTGAAGGATAGACTTACTTCCGCTCCAGTGTTGACCTTACCGAAAGGGACTAGTGGTTTGTTGTTTATTGTAATGCCTCGAGAATTGGGCTAGGATGTGTACTTATGAAAAATGGGAAAATTATTGCCTATGATTCAAGGTAACTTAAGGTTCATGAAAATAATTATCCTGCCCATGACCTTGAACTAGCGGTAGTTGTTTTTACCTTAAAGATTTGGAGGCACTATTTGTATGGTGTTCATGTCGATGTTTTCACCAACCATAAGAGCTTACAATATGTGATTAATCAAAAGGATCTAAATCTTTGCCAAAGAAGGTGTCTTGAGTTATTGAAAGATTATGACATGAATGTTCTCTATCATCCCGCTAAAGAGAATGTGGTGGCGGATGCTCTTAGTTGGTTATTTATGGGTAGGATTGCTCATAATGAAGAAGATAAGAAGGAGTTGGTCCTAGATGTTCATATATTGGCCCTGTTGGATGTTCAGTTAGTGGACTCTACCAAAGGTGGTGTTATGGTCAACAATAGTTCAGAATCATCTTTTGTGGCGGATGTGAAAGCCAAGCAAAGTCTTGATCCAACTTTGGTTAAATTGAAGGAAGCGGTGCTTAAAAAGTCTGTAGAGGCTTTCTCCCAAGGGGGAAATGGTGTACTTAGATACCAAGGTCATTTTTGTGTTCCCAATGATGATGACTTAAGGGAACTGATCTTGTCAGAAGCCCATAGTTCTCGGTATTCCATTCACACGGGAGCCACCAAGATGTACCATGATTTGCGGGAGATCTATTGGTGGAAATGGGATGAAGAAGGATATTGCGGTATCTGTGGCTAAGTGTCCTAATTATCAACAAGTGAATGTTGAACATCAGAAATCGGGAGGTTTGTCCCAAGACATTAGCATTCCTACTTGGAAGCGGGAAGATTTGAATATGGACTTCATTGTTGGTTTGCCTCACACCCGACAACAACATGGCTCTATTTGGGTTATAGTAGATCGGATGACAAAGTCATCTCATTTTATTCCCAACAAGATTTCCTATTTGGTGGAGGACTATGCCAAGTTGTATTTAAGGGAAATGGTAAAGTTGCATGGAGTGTCTTTATCCATTATCTCCGATTGTGGTACCCAATTCACTTCGTAGTTTTGAAAATCTTTTCAAAAGGGTCTTGGTACTCGTGTCAAGCTTAGTATATCCTTTCATCCCCAACCCGATGGGAAAGCATAGCGTACTATCCAAATTTTTGAAGATATGTTGAGAGCTTGTGTGATTGATTTCAAGGGTAATTGGGATGATCACTTCCCTTTGATTGAGTTTGCATATAACAATAGTTATCACTCAAGTATTGGTATGGCTCCATTTGAGGCATTGTATGGTAGGAGGTGTAGATCTCCTATAGGTTGGTTTGAGGAGGGCGAAGTTGCTTTAATAGGTCCTGAGTTGGTACATGAGGCTATAAAGAAAGTTCGACTTATTAGGGAATGGTTGAAAACGACCCAAAGTCAGCAAAAGTCATATGCCGATGTAAGAAAAAGAGATCTTAAGTTTGACATCCACGATTGGGTCTATTTAAAAATCTCACCCATGAAGGGTGTAATGAGGTTTTTCAAGAAGGGGAAGCTTAATCCCTAATATGTAGGCCCATATCAGATTTTGAGGCGTATTGGTAAGGTTGCTTATGAGCTTGAATTGCCTAATGAATTGGCATCGGTGCATCCAGTTTTCTATGTCTCCTTGTTGAAGAAATGTGTTGGTGATTCGACAACTATAGTCCCATTAGATGGTTAGGGAGTTAAGGAGAATCATTCTTATGAGGAAGTCCCGGTTGAGATTTTAGACTGGCAAGTCAAGAAGTTGAGAAAAAAAGAAGTCTCTTCCCTGAAAGTGTTATGGAGGAATCAGTTAGTTGAGGGTGCTACTTGGGAGGCAGAGGCCGATATGATGTCCCGATATCCTCATATCTTTCCTTCTACCCCTACTCTAACTAGAGGTAATTAGTTCCTCATGGTTTACTCTTTTGGTGTCATATGTCTTAGATTTTCCCATGAATTCCTCATTTATGCATGTTCATGAAAAAGCTTAAGTCTTGAGAAAATGAGTCAACTTGATTGATTTCTACATGTTTATATGCATTTGAGTATGAGTTGCATATAGACTTCATGATATGATGTTTTGAACATTCTTTAGCTTGGAGTTGATGTCTCCTTTGATATGTGCATTTATGTGATTTCATGCATGATGAGCTGCTAGATTTGAGTTCATTACATCTGTATGATGTCAAGGATTCCATTCGAGGACGAATGTTCCAAAGGGAGAGATAATGTAACACCATGTAATCAAGAAACCTAGAAAAGAGAGTCAAGTGGGAGGTCACCAACCCTCCATTCAACCATGGCACCCTTCATGGGACCCTTCACAGGTCGTGAAGGTCACCATGACTCATTGTGGTGCTCGTGGGGGAATACAGGTTGGCTTGGACGGGCTCCCTTCCCATGTGCTCTTAGACGCCTCGTGAAGGGTACCATGACTCACGGTGGTGCCCGTGGTGGAGTGGACAGTGTCCTCCCTAAGGCATGCTCCTCTAAGTCTATTTCCCGTTCGGGAGGAATGCCGGGCAAGTCATCGGGAAAGACTTCCGAAAACTCACTCACCACGGGGACCGAATCTAAAGAAGGAGTCTCAGACTCAACATCCATTACCCTTACAATATGATAAATGCACCCCTTTGAGATCATTTTCCTAGTTTTTAGACATGAAATGAATTGACCTCTAGGGATCAAATTTCCCCCTTTCCACTCTAAAATGGACTCATTTGGAAATTGAAACTTTACTACCCGAGTCCTACAATCAATAGAGGCCTAACATGCATGCAATCAATCCATCCCCAAAATGACATCAAAATCAAACATGTCTAATTCTATCAAATCAACCAAAGTGACCTTATGAGACAAAGGAATAAGACAACTCCTATAGACTCTTTTAGCCACAACCGAGTTACCAACCGCGGTAGAAACTGAAAAAGGTTCTTCTAACACATCGGGGAGTACTTCAAATTTCATTGCCGCAAAAGGTGTAACAAATGATAAAGTGGCACCGGGGTCTAACAATGCATAAACATCAATGGAAAATACTTGCAACATACCTGTTACCACATCCGGGGAACTCTCTTGGTCACTCGAGATTTGAGAGCATAGAATCGATTCTTCTTGGGAGCATCGGAATATGAGCCACTAGGAGGGACTTGCTTGCCCTCTCTCCCTTAAACTTTAAGCATGGGACAATCTCTTATCATATGACCACTCTTCCCACGATGAAAACAACCATCCGTGCCAACAAGGCACTTCCCCTCATGTTTCTTGCCACACTTGGCACAAGTAGGCCTTGTCATTGAAGATCCACCACTATTGCCTCCTTGAAGCTTAGGGTTAGGCACCCTATATTTGTTGACCCTTGGAGCATTAGAGGAACCTTGGTTGGAGAACCTTCTCTTGAACCTTGGTTTACCTTGACTCTCAAATTTACCTTTGGAAGAATTTCGATCATCGGTCCTTGCCCTCTTCACTTGTCTATTCACTTGCTTGAGCTTTTGTTCCTCAATTTGTTTGGCATGAACCATAGGACGTGAAATATTCATACTTGGGATGAGCATTGCCTAACGACATTCATTGACTACCAAGTTGGATATCCCCATAACAAATTTGTTCATCTTGGCCCTAGAGTCTGCCACCAAGGTTGGAGCATATTTAGACAATTGGGTGAACTTAAGACCATATTCCTTCACAGTCATACCTCCTTGGTGTAGGTTGATGAATTCTTGCATCTTTCGTTCCCTTAACTCTAAGGAAAGAACCTATCAAGAAAGGCCGACTTGAACACTCCCCAATCTACCGGGCCCACTCTTACGGGTCTCTCATCCTTCCATTGCTCATACCAAACTTGAGCCACATTCTTCGATTGATAGGCGGCTAGTTCCACCTTCTCTTGGAGAGACACTCCTATAGCATCAAGCACCTTAAACACTTCATCAATAAACCCTTGTGGGTCTTCCTCCATCTTGGAGCCATAGAACATAGGGGGATTCATTCTTGTGAAATTCGTTATCCTTGAAGCGGTTGTACTTGCACTAGGGTTCACTTGAACTCTAGCATCCCTAGTGACTTGAGCCGTTAAAGCACGAGTCAATGTTTGGAGATCCATCCTTATTTCCACATTTGTCATAGCCCCCACATCATTAGGAGCTTGAGGCTCTTGAGGACCTTGGGAGGAACTCCTTCATTCATGATCTCCTCTTCCATCCTTCTTGCATTCTCCCTTCTTGTATTCGTATCCTATATACACAAGAGAAGGGTTATGAAAAGGACTTCATAGAGTTAAAACTCTCACTTTCATATCCCCTTGGTGCTAAGCATAATTCCCTTCAAAGTCATATTAGGTCTTTGCTTAAATTCATGTTCATGAAAGAATGCAATAGACACTCAAACCATCATAACATCATAATTAGCTCATAGATTGATTAGGTGAGAATGTCCTTTCAACCTTAAAATCATCAACATGTGAGTAAACCTTTCACATCTTATTCATAGTGTATTCATAAGGATTGCCTTACAATTAACACAACAACATCATCATATTCAAAGATATATCATACATAATCATGTGTAAGGGTAGGGGAGAATAATCTTACAACAATACCATAATTACACAATAATCATAACATCTTCACCTTCTAAATGAATCATAAGCTCATACACAAATTCTCTTAAAGATGTACAAACCCTAATATTATGCCCTTCAAGGGTATTGAATCACAATCAACCCCCATCATATTCAATTACTACACAAGATAGGGGGGAATTTCATAATTCAATAGCTTAATCAACATAAACACATTTAATTGACATACTTATAATATCAACCAACCCACATCACCAATTCATGATTCATCAATATGGGGGAAACATGGGTTTATGGGGAATTTTCATCATAAAACATCAATACTCCATTAATAAAACCATAATTCATCATAACCAACCATAATCAACCATAGATAAACAATTGAAAACGTTTTAGAAGTAAACCCATGTCATAGATTGAAAACCCTAAAATTAGGGAATTTGGAATCTTGAAAACATAGTTTGAAGGGGCTCTTTGGGTGATAGATTCCCAAAGACGAAAAGCATCCATACCCTGACTAAAAACTCCAAGAAGTTTGGGGAAGAACCCTTGGAATCCACAAGCCCTAGCTTCAATGAATCATTTCTTCTTCTTTGTGTTTAGAGAGAGAAATATTGAGAGATGAGGAAGTTTTTGATCTCAATTGGGTGTTTGAGTATAATGACTTATTTTGGGTGAATTTGAACTTAAAATGACTTATATAGTAAAATACCCAAAATGACCTCACTTAAGTTAGGCTTAATTAGGAATTGACTTAATTGACCCTCACTGAGGAATCCCGTCCAGGCTCACGAGCTCCTTCATGTGTTATGGTGAGGACCACGACCAGTGGTCCTCCTCGTGAAGGTTGGACAGTGGCTTGGCACTTGGTGCCTTAGACTCATAAGCCCAAGGCATTACCATAAGAGTCTCCACGAGTCGTGGTCAAGACCACGAGCTGTGGTACTTAGGCAGTGAGCTTGCCACTTGGGGCTCTTAAATACTTTGCTTAAGTCTTCTTCACGAAGGGCTCCATGAGCCGTGGTCCCTATCGTGAAGTTAAGGCAGTAGCTAGGCCAAAGGGTGGCCATTTTTCCATGGCCAAGGAAGCTTCACAAGCCGTGGAGTGGACCATAATCTGTGGTCCCACTCGTGAAGGTGGGGTAGTCTGCTCCTAGCTAGGGGCAGCCTTTGACTTTGGCCTTGGCTTGTCCCCTTTGCCTTGGCACTTGCCCCTTTGCCTTGACTTAAATAAACTCCCTTTCAACTCCAGAAGGACTTCTAATATTAACAGAGTCATTTTATGATTTTTAACCTTATGTTTAGGCTCTAGTTTAACCTACCTTTTTTTGGAGTCTTACAATAATCAATTGACATACTTCTAATATCAACCAACCCACATCATCAATTCATAATTTATCAATATGGGGGAATCATGGGTCCATGAGGAGATTTTATCATAATTCAACAATACTCCATCAATCCAACCATAATTCCTCATAACCAAGCATAAAACAATTGAAACTGTTTTGGAAGAAGACCCACGACATAGATTGAAACCCTAGATTTTTGGGGAAATTGAAATATTGAAATTTAGTTTTGAAGGGACTCTATGGGTGGAAACTACCCATAGATGAAAATCCACCATACCTTGCTTTAGAATCTCCAAGAAATTTGAGGAAGGACCCTTGAATTCTCTAAACCCTATCTCCAATGGCACCTTTCTTCTTCCTTGAGTTTAGAGAGAGAAATATTGAGAGGAGGAGATTTTTTTTTTGATTTGGGTGTTTGAGTATAATGACTTGTTTTGGGTGAATTTGGACTTAAAATGACTTATATAGTACACCTAAAAATATCCAAAACGAGCACACTTTAGTTGGACTAAAATAGGAAATGACTTAACTAGCCCTCATTTAATGAACATGCCCAGGTGTCACGAGCCACCTTCACGAGCCGTGGTGAGGACCACAACCCGTGGTCTTGCTCGTGAAGTTGGGCCAGTAGCTTTGCAATTGGTTCCACAAGCTCATTAGCCTAAATCACCTTTACGAAGGGCTACATGAGCCGTGGTCAAGACCACAGTCGTGGTCCCTTCCGTGAAGTTGAGGCAGTAGCTAGGCTACTTGTGCCTCTGGCCACCATGCCTAACTCATCTTCACGAAGGGCTCCATGAGTCGTGGTCAAGACCACGAGCCGTGGTCCCTTCTGTGAAGTTGAGGCAGTGGCTAGGATTTTTGGTTGCCATTTTTCCATGGCCAAGGAAGATTTACGAGCCCCTTCACGAGCCATGGTGAGGACCGCGATCCATGGTCCCACTCGTGAAGGGTGAGGCGATGTGCTCAAGCTGGGGGCAGCCTTGGCTTGGCCCCTTTGCCTTGGCAGTTGCCCATTGGCCTTGACCCTTATAACCCTCATTTCAACTCTAGAAGGTTTTCCAATCTACGGGGAGTCATTTTATGATTTTTACCCTTACATTTAGGCTCTAGTTTAACCTACTATTTTACGGAGTGTTACAGAAGGGGAGGCAGTATCCCCAAGCATCTGGTCCAGGGTCATGACTGCATATACAGATCGTGGACCCTGAGACGGCTTGTGTGGGCCTCCTTCTAGAGGTTCACATCAGCTGTAAGCCAGGGTCAGTTAGGTCGTTTCCTAATTATTTTATTTTGATACTATGTCGTTTTACCCATACCTAGGACCCCTATATAAGTATTTTGAACCCCAAATTCAACCCATTCAAATCATTATCTTAAATTTACCAAAGAAGATCAAGTTCATCCTCTCCAAAATATTTCTCTCTCTAGAAACTTGAAGAAGAAGGGTTCAACCTAGTGTTTCAAGGAAAGTATCTGATTCCACTATTGAAGGCAAGCTTTTGGAATTGAGGTGTGATAGTTTTCATCCATGGATTCCTTCCATTCATGGAGTTCCTAAATTCTCCTATTTTCAAAGCTAGAATTCTCCAATTGAGTTAGGTTTTTCTTCTATTTTATGGGTTCTCTTGATTATTGATTTAATTGATGGAATTATGATCTCTTATGCATGAATTAATGAAATTATATGGTTTTATGATGATTCCCCATGAACCCATGTAATTCTCATGTTTTCCAAATTTTGATGATAGGATGTGGGTTTTGGATTATGAATGAAGAGTTTATGAAATTAAGCATGTTATTATAGGATTTATGTAAATGTTTTAAGGATGCTTTGAGAGTGAAGTATCAATGATAATGTTTTTGTTGTGTTGTTGAAAGGATTTTTCTCATAAACACATAAGAGTATGATTGTGAAATGTTTTCTCCCATAGTAAGGATTTTAAGGTTGAAAGGTCTTCTCACCTATATAAATCAAAGATAAGGAGCTATCCTAATGAAACCTAGCTTGGATTAGTTATTGAATGATACCTTTCCATGATTTACTTATGACCTAGCTTGGATTGGCAAGATGACGTGCCCTTCCATGGATAATTAGAACAAGTAAAAAAATGACTATTCCCTGTGATTTATGCGTAGCACTGAGAGGGTATTGAGATGGAAGCTCTCCCGTGAGTAGAGGCGAGGTTTTAGAAGCAATCTCCTTATCCCTTACATATTTGCCCCGATAGGATGATTTTCTAGATAAACATTATCTAGTTGATCCACCTAAGCTAGAAGTTTATGGTCCTTACGTTGACAAGTAGGACAACCTTTTTCGGTGTGGGAGACACTAGGGGACATGTTATAGCTCACATGGTATCTATGTCGATTTAGGCTACATCCCACAATAATAATGAACTAAGGTTACTTCAAGAAGTATCTCACATGTGTTCAAATGTTTTAAAGATGTTAGCTTACATTGACCATGTTTTATGACTTATGTCTTCTGAACTGTTTTATCATGTTTTAGCTTGGTCATTGCATGTTATGAAATGTCCCCTTTTAATCATGTTATCAAATATTTTATGCATCACTATCATACTTGGTACATGTTTGTACTAAGTATACTCTTGCCTACATTATCCCCAAATGTTGGGTCCGATAGTCAGGGTTCTCATTTCCGTGGCTAGATGCTAATTTAAGAGATTTCAAGATTTGGTGAGTCCTCATGCTTCGAGGACGGATTTTCATTGTTTTCAATTTTCTTAATTACTTTCAGTTTTGAACATGATGTATGGGTGAGGCCCAATTTCATTCTTATGTACTAGATGGCTAATGAGACAAGTGTTTAGACATTCGCTTCACTTTTATAAAACTTTTGGAACTTGAAACGTTGTTCTTTATCTCTGTTATTCTATTTCTTATGTTATGAATGCTAAGTGGCTTGTATGGGGCCTCTAGGGGTCCTATAGGCCATGTTACGCTTAAGGGGTACCTTGGGTCGTGACATTGAATCACCAATTAGAGTTCAGATCACCTTTTTCTCTTTTCAAGTTTAAGATATTTGATCTTTATTTGGCGTTCCCGCTCAAGTTTGTTTTTTGGTTCGGCAAATCGTTGATCAGAACCTTAATTCACCCTTTAAACTTCCATTTAATCACACAACAATGTAAAATTCAACGATGTTCCTTCTGTTCGCCTTTTCCACTC